GCTGAGACTGTACCACTGTGCTCTAGCCTGGGCGACAGAGCAAGACTCTGTCTCAACAAAAAGAAAAAGAAAAAAAAAGTATCGTATGATATAGTTCATGTCAATGTAATATATTTTGATATTGTAATATAGACCAAATATATTTTAATATACACATTCCAAGGTACTTGTGTCAAATTTAATTTAATACCTAATTTTGAAAATTGTAAGACCGATTATCACCAAAAAATTCCTTAAGAGTTTACCTAAACAGAACAAATGAAAAAGGACTCCTCTATATATTAGTAAACACAAATGAAAGCACAGAAGGGCTCAGTTCACTCGTTCTAGAAGGTGTTTTTGATGCTCACTGTGTGCCAGGTGCTACGCTAGGTGTTGAATCTAGATTTATCTGATGCCATCTGCCTCAATGTAATCACTCCGCTTCCTTTCTCATACTCCCCTCTCAAAAACAAAACATTTTTAGAATCAGCACCATGTTGTTATAATGAGGCAATTCTAGTGACTCAATCTTTCCAAGCATCCTTTATTAGTATCTTAACTGTTTTGTTTTCCTAAGTGCCAGTAGATAGCAATGAATTATTACCCAAGGATTAAGTGAGGCACAGATAAAACTACTTTAAGTAAAAACATTATTTTGTCAAAATACGCTTCTTTAAATCAGACAGATCATGTTATAGATGTGGACTAGATACCTACAGAAAGTAATTACTTCGTTAATATTGCTTATAGAACTTTATATTTGTCTAATGATTTTGTTTTTTGCAAAGACCTTACTTTTACTTTATTTTCAATTCTATTTTCTGGCTATTAATGTTAAAAATAACTTTACTATGTGTAATATGCAAAAAAACCTGCCCTGCAATTTCTATAACCAGAGAAAACAACTATCAACATATTGTTATATATCCTCCTAGTCTTTGGCTCTATACATTCATTATTATTTGTTGTCCGTTAACTTTTCATTTTGGATCTCTGTGTATTCACTGGATAACTTTTGTTTTACATATGTGGATTCATCTGGCACCTGTAAGTAACAATTTGCAGGCCTGTCACCTGAAATCTAGGCTTCTCTAAACAAATCTACCTGGCACCTCAAAAACCTCTCCAAACAGAAATTCATTATCTTCCTCCTTTCTTAAGCTTCTTAGTCTGTCAGTTTTTTACTCTGTTCTTTTTCTCCCTCACGCACTACACTGATCATCAAATGTTGCTGTGCCCCTTCAGTGTGCCCCTTCCCCTAAGCCCTAGTCTCAGACCAGCACAGCCTGATTTCTTCATGTTAGATTCATCACAAAGTTAATGAAAAAGTAAATATAGAGCAAACAAAAAGTGGAGAATTTCCTTTTCTCTTGACCTTCACCTCCAATGACTCCTCACTGATTACAAGGTAAATACCAAATCCTTAGCAAGCCAGTGAGATCCTCCCATTTTCAGATCTTCTCTTCCCTCCCAGACAAGAGCCACTGAAAGCAGCAGTGAACTGAGATGCTCTTGACTTGAGGTCTGATGCTCCATCTAGTGGTAGAGAACATCCCTTTGGGATGGGACTGAAGGAAACACGCCAGGTCAGATGCTGGGAGAGCCAGCAAACCTGCCAAGATGAGTTTGTCACCTGTAGTCAAATTTGGAAAGGGTCAAGGAGCCCTGGGATTCCACCTAGAGGTTTTATCTAAGCACTGGGTTCTCCTGAGGAAATGCCTCAAATCTCCAAACCGGTTGCTATCATTGTCAATTCTTGAGAGATGGTAAGCTATAACGGCATTTCTTTGTCTTTGATTCTTTGTCTGTCTTTTACACAGTCAGTGTCTCACTCTGTCACTCAGCCTGGAGTGCAACAGAGCTGTGCACCCTCCAATTCCTGGGTTCAAGTGATTCTCTCACCTTAGCATCCCAAATAGCTGGGACTACAGGCATGTGCCACTACACCTGGCTAATTTATTTTTTATAGAGATGGGATCTTGTACGTTGCCAGAGTTGGCTTTGATCTCCTAGCCTCAAATGATCCCTCTACCTCAGTCTCCCAAAGTGCTGGGATTACAGGTGTGAATTACTGAGCCTGGTCACATTTCTTTACTTATTGCTACCAAATAAAATCACAGGATGCTTCTGATCCTATGACTACACTAGTACCTATGTCCTTCCAGAATTTTCTTGAAACTCAAACAATTAAAAATAGAGCATTTATCTATGTATTAATTATTCCTTTCAATGCACACTTAAAGAACACCTGTCATGCTGAAGACACTATACAGAGAGACTGTTCTAGGGGCTAAGTCACTCCAGGCTGTACATAGTAGTCAAATACATCCATGATAACAATGCAGAAAGAAGTCTAACCTGGACAGGGACAGGGAGGGCTTCTGGAAGAAATGATGACTGAACTGGTTTTGTTAGTAAAGTAAGAGTCAGTCAGGTAAAGAGTGAAGGGCATTGTTTCAGATTCAGCATTACACATGCAACAGAGTATAGCACATAAAAAGGATATCCTAATACAGCAAGAAATCATTTTTAAAAGTTGGGGGGGGGTGGGCTGGGCATGGTAGTTCATGCCATAATCCCAGCACTTTGGGAGGCTGAGGTGGGTGGATCATGAGGTCAGGAGATCGAGACTATCCTGACCAACATGGTAAAAACCTGTCTCTACTAAAAACAAAAAAATACAAAATACAAAAATTAGCTGGGCATGGTGTCACACGCCTGTAGTCCCAGCTACTCAAGAGGCTGAGGCAGGGCAATTGCTTGAAACCGGGAGGCAGAGTTTGCAGTGAGCCAAGATCATGCCACTGCACTCCAGCCCGGCAACAGAGAGAGACTCCATTGCTCCTCACCATCCCCCCCAAAAAAGGATATGCTTTGTGGGTGGGCACAGTGACTCACACCTGTAATCCCAGCTACTCAGGAAGCTGAGGCAGGAGAATTGCTTGAACCCCAGAGGTAGAGGTTGTAGTGAGCTGAGACTGTGCCATGGCACTCCAGCCAGGGCAACCAAGCAAGACTTGGTATTTAAAAATACATATATATATATACACACACATATACGTACACACACGCTTTGGGAGGCAAGGCAAGAGGATTGCTGGAGGGTAGAACTTTGAGGCAGGAGGACTGCTTGAGGGCAGAAGCTTAACACCATTTTTACAGTGTAAACCCGTTTCTTTCTAAAATCACACACACACACACACACACACACAGAGAGCTGGGGATGGTCCCATGTGCCTGTAATCCCAGCTACTCAGGAGATTGAAGCAGGAGGATTGCTTGAGCCCAGAAGTTGGAGGTTGCGGTAAACTATGATCCTATCACTGCACTCCAGCCTAGGTGACAGTGCAAGATCAAATCTCAAAACAAGCAAATTAAAGATATGAAATGCAATTTTCCTTAATCCTCTTCCTCTTTTTGGAAATAAGGGATAATATTTAATATTTTACATTTTAAGAGGGAGTTTATTAATAACACAGAAGTATATTTCTATAGGTTGACAGTTACAGCTTTTATGAAATACTGAATGGCTTTGAGATTAAAAGCATCCATTAAGACACGTAATACATTATATAACCGTCTTAGCCCACGGTAAACCTACAAACCACATGCTTTTGGCTGCCTGTATGGTGGCAATGTCAGCAACGCAGCACTTATTACTACTTCAAGGGTAGTCCATTTTATCTTTGAACACTGTTGGAAGGTTACATTAAACATGTATACAAGGTATGTCTCTCTGTAACTTTGGCATTAACTAGGACCAAGTTGAGGGCACCCCAGAACAAGATTCATTGCTCTGTGACAAGACCAGATTTCATTCACCATATTTACAGCATTTTCTCAGTACGTGCCCTCCACTTTCTCTCCCTTTCCTAGCAATCTCAAGTATGTCACGACCTGTATGCCACCCCATATGTCTTCCAACACTGTTGGAATGTTACATTAAACATGGAGACATAAACACAAGACTTCCTGCAATTTTGGCATTAACTAGGACCAAGTTGAGGGTGCCCCAGAACAAGTGGCATTGCTCTGCTTCAAGACCACATTTCATTCACCCTATCTGCAGCACATTCTCAGAGACTGTCCTCAGTTTTCTCTCCCTTTCCTAGCAATTCAAGTATGCAATAATCTGTATGCCACGCCAAGTTCTGATTCCTGGTACTCTTAATCTATTTCATTTATTTGCATTCTCTTTGAAACAAAATCCATGTGTGTATGTGATTGAACAGTAGGTATGATATGCATGGTTCAAGTCAAGCTAGATATGCCACTTCTGTGAATGTAGTTTCAGATGCAAGGGTTATTCTGAGAAATATATAACACCGTGGACTCACTTCAAGATTCCCTTTAAGACTTTCAAGTGTCTGAAGTCAGGAGTTCAAGACCAACCCGGTCAACATGGTGAAACTCTGTCTTTATTAAAATACAAAAAATTGGCCAGTCACGGTGGTGGGCACCTGTAATCCCAGTTACTCAGGAAGCTAAGGCAGGAGAATCACTTGAACCCGAGAGATGGAGGTTGCAGTGAGCCGAGACTATGCCACTGCATATCAGCCTAGACAACAAAGCGAGGCTCTGTCTCAAAAAAAAAAAAACCTCCCAAGTGTTTTTTTTTTAAACTGACAGATACTAGGCCATGTCTCCTTCTCCATTTGCTACTGTCTAGCAAATGCCAAAAAGTACATGCATTTCTATTGGCATATTTATGAATATGTCTATATATATTAAGAAAAATATTTCTCATCTAGAGAAAGTGACTTCATTAGATAAAAGTTTATGAACACACAATACATGCTGGGCACTGGACTAAATACTGGGAACACAAATTTTAATGAGACATTATTTTAGTGTGATCCTCTTATACAAGATTATGCATATAAAGCAAGGGCTTGGGGCACATAGCAGCTGCTCCATAAACTGTTATCATTATTATGATCAATCACAAGTGATAGTCTTTTAAACATTCTTACAGATTTTTTAAATGAAAATACTGCAGTGATGCCAGGAGTACTCACCAATGCTATAATATCTCTTTAGTTCTGTACGCCTGATCTCCTTTAACTGATTACTTTTTCTCTTTTTTTTCTCATCAGTAATATATTCTTCTTCCACAGCAATGTTGCACTTGTCTTGATCTAAAACTACTGTATTAGCATCTTCCTTCCCAGTATGAGTCCTTGTAGCTATAGCTGAGGCTGTCTCTGCATTTTGTTTGGCTTGTTTTTTCTTTTTCAATCTAGGAAAGAGGGGGGGAAAAAAAGACACTGGAGAGATAATTTGCTGGTAGAAATCATATTAATTTCACACTGCTGGGCTTTGAAAATTAATGAACTGATACAGAAAACACTTTGGTTATAATATGGTTCATTACATTTATTGTTCTTTTTTCTTTTCTGGTCACTTACAAATTCTTACATGGAGAACTGTGGCCTTTCTTCAACTTGATACAGTCAATATGATATCTCACAAAATTATTGAGAAGTGCCCTAGGCCTGAGGAAAAATGAGATTCTTCCATAGTCATGAAATGTTGAATATTTAAAAAAATCACAATAGATGATGCTACTAGAATGCTATTTTGGAAGATTATATTTTAAGAAAATGTTTCTGGTTTCAGTGGTACTTTTGGACTGATGGACAAGCACATTTGTAAAAACAAGTCCTCTGTAATTGGCTCAAATACTGAGTATAAGGTTTTGGTAACGTGTGAACTGGATCACATCTGAGTAATTCTTTTCCTTTAAACACATGGCAATAGTAATGAAGAGTTGCATTTCCTAAGACAGAAAATGCCATAATGACAAGACATGACTTTGATTATGATTACCGATAGCTAGTTGATTATTAGTTTATATATTCGATGTTATAAATTCTTTACTCCTGAGTCACAGATGTGTAAGAGAGAAAGTTTATCATAATTCACTAAAAGCCAATACCTCAAAATATTTTCATTTGACACATCACTCTGTAATTAACTAATGTGTCACTCTGTACTTGATAGTCCTTGAGAATGTTTTTGCCTTAACCAGAATCTAAATGCTTTGAGAACAAGGGCCTTGGCCTCTAATATATGTTATACTCTACTCATATGTAAATATATACTTTAAAATCATGTCCCTATTCCCTGTGCCTAGATAGAAAGTATCTAAGGACAGTTAGATTTCTCTTATGCATTTCTATTTCCTTCACCCTCTTGAGCATGTGCCCAATTTGATGTTGGGCAATGGATACGGGCGTGAAAAATGAACAATTTAATATTACACTGCATTGCTCTGTGTAATAAATCAATATGACAGTTAAGCTATAACACTTAAGAGAACTCTGATCTCAGGCTAGGAATCAAACCTTGGGTCTGAGTTTTCTTATATCTTAAATGGTGATAATTGTACTTCCTTAGGTCTCTAATGGAATCTTTTATTAGGATTAGATGACAAAATATATGTCAACATACAACAAAAACAGAAACAAATAGTAAAATATCCCCTAATACAATCATAAAGATACGACAACTAAGTATGGTAAAAAAAATGAGACATTCAGCTTTGGAGATAAAAGTCCCACATGCCAACAAGATATTTCAATGAGGCTACTATTTACTGAACACTGAGCAGTCAGGTTCTTAGATATTCATTGGCTAATAAATTAGTATATGGCTTAAGAGACAGAACAGCCGAAGAAAAGTTGTAGTTGAATGTACTTCCCATCTTTTAGTTTAGCTATCTTTTAATGTTTGTTTGAAAGACTAAAACTGGAAGTCCTAGTCAGAGCAATCAGGCAAGAGAAAGAAATTAAGAGCATCTAAAATGGAAAAGAGGAAGTCAAACTATCTCTGTTTGCCAATTACATAATCACATGCCTAGAAAACCCTAAAGACTCCTCCAAAAGACTCCTAGATTTGGTAAATTCAGTAAAGTCTCAGGTTACAAAATCAATGTACACAAATCAGTAGCAATGCCATACAGCAACAATGACCAAGCTGACAAATCAAGAACTCAAGGAAAATAAGAGAAGAAAGGAAGAAAGAAAGGGAAAAAAAGAGAAAGAAAGAAAGAAGGAAGAACTAAAAATATCTCTATAAGGAAAATTACAAAACACTGCTGAAAGGAATCATAGATGACACAAACAAATAAAAATACACTCCATACTCATGGACTAGAAGAATCAATATTGTGAAAATGACCATACTGCCCAAAGCAATCTACAGATTCAATGCAATTCCTATCGAAATACCAACATCATTTTTCATATATTTAGAAAAAACAATTTTAAAATACATGTGGAACCAAAAAAGAGCCCAAATAGCCAAAGCAATCCTAAGCAAAAAGAATAAATCTGAAGGCATCACATTATCTGACTTCAAATTATACAAGGCTATAGTTACCAAAACAGCATGGTATCTGTAACCTGTATAAATGTAGATATATAGACATTGCAAAGGAACAGAATAAAGAACCCAGAAACAAAGCCAAATACAACCAACTTATCTTCAACAAAGCATACAGAAACATAAATTGGGGAAAGGAAACCCTATTCAATAAATGGTGCTAGAAAAACTCAATAGCTACATATAGATCAATGAAACTGCATCCCTTATCTCTCACCATATATAAAAATCAACTCAAGATGAATTAAAGACAACTCTAAGACCTGGAACTATAAAAATTCTAGCAGAAAATTCAGTAAAAACTCTGCTGGGCACTGGCCTAGGCAAAGAATTTATGACTAAGACCCTAAAAGCAAACAAACAAGCAATAAAAACAAAAATAAATAAATGGGATCTAATTAAACTAAAAACTTCTACACAACAACAACAACAAATCATGAGAGTAAAGAGACAACCCACAGAATGGGAAAAAATATTTACAAACTATGCATCTGAAAGGACTAATATCCAGAATCTACAAGGTACTCAAACAATCAGCAAGACAAAAGTGAATAATCCCATTTAAATGTGGGCAAATGACATGAATAGATATTTCTCAAAATATATATATTCAATGCCCAATAAACATATTCTTTAAAATGCTCTACATCACTAATCATCAGGGAGATGCAAATTAAAACCACAATGAAATACTACCCTCTCTAGCCAGAATGGCTGCTATTAAAAAGCCAAAAAACAACAATTGTTGGTGTAGATGTGGTGAAATGGGAATACTTATACACTGCTGGTGGGAATGTAAATTAGTACAACTTTGCAGTATGGTGATTTCTCAAAGAAATAAAAGTAGATTGGCCAGGTGTGGTGGCTCATGCCTGTAATCTCAGCACTTTGGGAGGTTGAGGTGGGCAGATCACAAGGTCAAGAGTTCAAGACAAGCCTGACAAACATGGTGAAACCTCGTCTCTACCACAAAATTCAAAAATTAGCTGGATGTGGTGGCTCGCATCTGTAGTCCCAGCTACTTGGGAAGCCGAGGCAAGAGAATTGCTTGAACCTGGAAGAGGGAGATTGTAGTGAGCTGAGATCACGCCACTGCACTCCAGCCTGGCGACTGGTGACAGAGCAAGACTCTGTCTCAAAAAATAAATAAATAAATAAAAGTAGATCAACCATTTGATCCAGCAATCGCATTACTAAGGAAAGGCAGTCATTATATGGAAATGATACCTGCATGTGTATGTTTATTGCAGCACAATTCACAATTGCAAAGATATGGAATAAACCTAAGTGTCCATCAGGCAATGAGTAGACAAAAAAAATGTGGTCCATATACACCATGGACTACTACTCAGCCACAGAAAAGAACAAAATAATGTCTTCTGCAGCAACTTGGATGGAAATGGAGGTCATTATTCTAAGCGAAGTAACTTAGGAATGGAAGAATCTAATATCACATGATCTGGCTTATAAGTGGGAGCTAAGCTATGAAGATGCAAAAACATACATAGTATAATAATGGACCAGGGGAGGGTAGGAGGTGGCTGAGGGATTAAAAACTACATATTGGGTACAATGTACATTACTCAGTTGACAGGTGCACTAAAATTTCAGACTCCACCACTATACGATTCATCCACATAACCAAAAACCACTTGTACCACCAAAGCAATTTAAATAATAATATAATTAATAATAAATAAATAACCAAAAATCAATCAAACAATTGGAAATTCATAAAAAGGAATTACTTTCATTAAACATATTATTTTCTATCCTCAGATTTTAACCTGTTTTTCTGGTAAGAGTAGGCGGCTCTAGCAAACGTCTGATAATGTCCCTAATAAAACAATTTCTCTTTTGATCAAAATTTCTCCTCTGATCCAAAGCCCTTTGTGAGACTCAAATTATTCTACAGCAATCTAGACACCACACAGAGATTGTCTCTTTACATTGGGAGGTTTATCTATGCAGAGAGCTGATCTCTTTCTCCAAAATGATGGGCTGATTCTGATGTATTGGCTAATCAAAAACATGTTTGAGATGAACCTTGTTGTCCCCTTCCAAAGATGATTCCTTCTAGGGAAAAGAGATGTCAAATATTAATATTAGTTCTATGCAGCCTGAGATACGCTGCTTCTCAATCTTCTGACTTTTTCCACTTTAATTTTATTTAAATGCCCTCATTTCACTGTCCCCACGATAATTAAACTCACTCAGATCTGGGGCATGTGCTTTGATGAATAGCAGCACTGTTTGAGGACATCTCATTAGAGACTTGTTTTCACACATGGAAATAACAAAATGGCATACATTGTTTTATTCTTTTTCTCCCCCTTCTACACAATTACTATCAACACATACAGCCAAACACAGTTACTTCAGAAAACAAGCTACAAAATAGCAATCCCAAAGTTGTTTAACAGTAGAGTACAATTTAATACCTTAGAACTTCTACAATCAGATAACTCTTTTGTTTTGACTAGAATACTCATGAGACATTTGTTTCTCTGGAGGTTATCAATATAACTAGAACATTCTGATCTTGCAACTGGAAATCAGATGTGTTTCTGGAAGCCCTCTGTAAAATCCTTCCTTCCTTCCAATGTAGAGATATATCTAACACTTTTTGCAAAGGGAAATAACTGCACCTGAGGAATGTGGTATAGTTAATGTTCAAGCATTCCTTTTCAGGGCTTTAATCTTTTAGTCCTTCTTTTCCCCATCAATATCTATCTTGGTAAGATAGTCTCACAATAAGGATTTGTTATCGCTAACTTAAGATAAACTGAAAAAAAAAGGTCTTGCAGACAAATGAACTCTCATTATTTCATCTAAGCATTTTTCATGACCTGA